CTACGTTGCTAAGCCCTTTTATATATAAAATAGATTAAAGGATTATAATCCCAAGCAGCCTATTTTACTCGCAGATGACTGTAAATATCTCATTATTCCAAAACGAATTAATTCACTATCAGTTCCGTAAACAATTCATCAGCTTAGCATCTAACCCTTTTTATGATAATTTGAAACATTTGCTGAGTGATCCGGCAGATCTTGAATAATCTTCTGTGTTGATGCTGCAACTGCAACTGATGCAACGCTTCCCATTGGGATCGTGATCCCTGTCTGCGAGGTGAATGAACTGTAAGGAATATGGGAAAATGCCAAAGGCCAGGTAACAAACAGATCGTCCTCCCCTCGGCAAGACGCCTTGCTAAAAGGAAAAAACGTAGATTTTTTACAGGATTTCGTCCCTTCTTTTGTCAACCGTAAAAAAGGTAAAAACGAAGGTAGGCGACCCCGACAAATGTACGCAAGATGCGCAACTAATTTGAGACTCCGAAGGAGGGACAAATGAATTGGGAGCAGATCAACCCCTAATTTGCATGGGCTCCTCAAGATCCTAGCAAAACCATATATCATCTGCTCCACACAGACTGTCACTCAATCAAGCAATTTTTCCATTTCCCCGAGGAGAGTGCATTAAGTTCAGATTTCGTTTTCCCGATCATTCCACAATCACGCTCCTCATCTAGCCTTTTTGCACAGTGAACCCGAACCCAAATAGTCCTCTTCTTTTCTATAGTTTTTTGCTTTTTTAATTGCAAACGAGGGGAGGGTTAGCGAAAACTGTAAAAAAACGGTTAGGGTTTTTGGGCAAAAAAAGAAAATATTTGCACGCATATCCCAGCAATTACTTACGGTTTTTTGAACACTTCCCCGGCTTCGCTTTTCTTTTCCAAAAAAAGGGGATGAGCAGTAAAATATGAGAAGAAGTAGAATGTCTTTTGGGTGCCACATTTTCTTGGTACTTGGGTAATGGCAGAAAGCTAATTTCTGGGCAGGCCCGCAGTAAAGTTGTCCCCCTATTGATCTCCAACACCTACACTTCGATCGCAGTCGAAACTCGAGTGGTTTCCCATCAAGTGGTGATCAACTTTCAGCGATTCACAAAACCGTAAAACCCCGAGCAGCTGCGAAAAAAATCGTTCAACCCGCTGCTAAAAAAAAATCTCGCCGAGGACAAAACAAAAACAAATGCGAGACGGCCTAAAAAATGAAAGGGGGAAATTCAATGCCGTGAAAAGGGTAGACGGAGAGAGGGTTTTCGATCCGGACTCTGGAGTTCGTTATCCTTGCTCAAAATCGTCGAAGGGGGCACAGAAAAACACACTGCGTGTATACAATGCATATTCCATACAGCATCGCCGCAATCATCGTCTGACAGCCCTGCAACTGCAGCGTCAGTATGGCATATTTTCATTATGCTTTGCTAGTTATAGGGTTGGGATTTGGGGTTTACGGAGCGTTTCCTCTACCAACTCGAAAAAACTGCAATGGGTGTTAACGGTCGCTGCGGCTGCGCAGATCCGGTGCCAGCTTGCTCATCATGATCACCGTCGTAATGATGAAAAAACGATGACTTGCCAGAAGACTGATCTCGTTGAAATCAAAATAATGAAATTTACTTCCGCTTTGTTCTCCCTTCAATGAAATTTAATATGGCCTGTTACGGATACATTCACAATTTGTAGACCAGTTTCCGATGTTCGTAATTAGTGGGGGAGTTGCCGTTGATTACCAGAGCAAGGATGTTATTTCACGTAGTCAAATAGTTTCAGAATTCAAAGTCGACCGACAAATAATTAAATGTAAATATGTTAATATAGGACGTTGTTAAGTGCCTTCATTTACAGATCGCATTTTCCTGAATACCGTTTTTTATCTAACGGTGGTAAACCATTCACATTTAAATCATATATTCTTAAATTATTTGTATGCTATTTTTTCGTGGGGCACTGTGAAAAAGCATCAAAAATACCCGATAACTGTTTACAAAAGAAACAAGATTGAAAGCTATCTTGGGGAGCAGAGTATTGATGGTTTTTTCGAACTAATTTGTCTTTAATTTCTCCGATTGCTCCTACAGCAGCTTTATAAAAAATGCATACGAGTTTAACCAAATTTAATAAGTTATATAGAGTATTTCAAATAAAAAAGCTTGTAAAATTGAATACAACATCAAAGTAAATTCCTTTCAATTGATTTCGCGAACTTTTCTATGTGAGGTATATGATTCAGTCCCCTGATCTGCATAAGTATATTTGGTAAAATTTCGGGGGATAGCTTAAAAACACTTATGTGAAAATTATAATGCTGATCTAGGATTAATATATACCTAATGGGGATTAAGGTATCCTCTTCACTTTTGCAACGCAGTCTTACTGAAATTATAATTTGAAATAAGTTTTGAGATTTTCTGCTATATATTTTTTTAACTTTTTTACACCTCTTAGAAGTAAGAACTAATATGTAACTCATTTTGGAATACAATTCATTTTATATTTCTCTTCAATCAAAATGAAACTTATTAAAAAGTGTAGCCAATTTAAAAAAAAAAATATCAAAACAGTTTCTGCTTCCTTTTTTTCTTTAAAAAAAAATAGTTCGTATTTAAACGCTATAACGCCATCTATGTAAAATTTTCAGTACCTATCTTTCCTATTTCTTACATGACCCAAGTTACAAACCGTTCCCCCAGCTATGTCAAATTACATGTATATAGTATTGTAATGGTAGTTTTATTTTGAGTCCGAAACTACGAAATTATGACAGATCTGCCCGAATGTAAAAAGGTCCGTTTGGAGATATCTGTGATATCTTCGCGGCCGAACTTTCATACTTGCGCCTTTCTTTGCCTGCTTTTAGGATTACATTTGCTTTACCGCTGCCAATTTAGCACATCTAAATTACTACATTTTGAATAAGCAATGATATTGTATCATATTACTGTCCTTAAACAATAAAATATTAAACAGCTGTAGCTTACACGATTTTACCTTATTAGCAAGTTTAGTTTTACAATAGTTCTTATTGCGGAACTATAAAAACGATATAAAATATTATTGAAAATATTGTTATTTTTTTTTTAATTTATTTCAAATTAAATTTTCACATTAGTACTCTACGCCCATAGCTAATAGCCCGGTTAAGATTCTCTGAGATTTTGTAGCTGTCGCCAAAGACTAAGTTAATTAGTGCAGACTGAGGATCGAGTTTTATTAGACTTTGAGACGATAATTTGTAATCGGGATCTCATGGTTGACTTGGGCCGTTTAGTGTGAACAGACATTACCAAGTGAGGCGCGGGTTTTCATATGGTTGGAGTCTATGGTGCCAGTCTACTCAAACCGTTTTTTTTGGCGCGCGTTCAAATGAACATTAACCTAATACAACAAGAAAATCATAAAGTGTTAAGGCGATGTTTTTTGTATTATGGCCAAATTTAACAAGCCAAAGACTATATACTCTTGCATTTAAGATCACCAGATTTTTTCTGTACGTCTTGTTTAATTCGTTAGTTACTAAGAAAGTTAAAAGTTATAGTAGACCGATTATTCCAGTTAAGCAGTAATAACTATATCTGAAATATAGTGCTTCTTATTTATAGTGCAACTAAGTTATAATTTGCAATATATTTTAGGTAACTGTTACGATATTTCCCAGGACCTATCTGGATTTGCCTGTGCTAATCAAGAATATATTTAATTTATGGGGTCTCCCTGCACTGCGTGTTAAAAGCAATATAAAAATGGTATGTATTTCCTTTTCACAAGTATTCTTTTCCTTTTCACATATTTTATGGCTTACTCTAAATTAGGACTTAAGAAAAAATAGATAACACGCAATATTTGAGTTGTCCGACTATAAGATACCTGCTACTTTAGGCAAAATTTGCACGTAGGTGTAATATATGCAAACCAAAATAAAAAGCTAGCTCTACTTTTGTGTGGGTGCCAAAGAATTCAATCGCGAGATTGACATTGTCAACTTTTGAGGTGAACCTCTGTTTCACAAAAATGCTTTATAATCGCAACTAGAAATTCTTTCAATTTCTGAGATTGCAAGAATTTGTTCATTTATTCAAAAAGATACACAGATTGGCTCAGAATGACTTGGCGATGATCGTAATTTTATGTATGTACTGTATATATACACATTTAATGTAATAAGTACATACCTACATTAAAAGTAACGTACTTTTAAGTACGTAAGTACTTAAGTTACACCACGGGCAATGGGTAAAAGATAAGTGTTTCTCGAGAAGAATTTTCACCATCTGGCGTTAAACGCGAACAAGTTGTAAACAAAATAATCTCTACGCTACCCCCATCCGCAAGCTACGCAGTGACGTCACATTTCGTTTTTCATGAATGGACTTTCATCAGCAACAAGAAATGGTAAAAACTACTATACTGCACGCCATTTCAGTGGTTTAAGGTCAATGTGAGAGTTGTAAGAGGGAAGGTCATGACTAGTTAGTTGCAGGCAACCCCAACAACACGAATGACCACATTCCCAACAGAGATACAGTGAAATGTCGAATACAAAAACATACTATATCATTTTTTTAAGAGGAAAACAAAGTAAATTTTTAATTGAAAAAATTTTAAAATGTTTAAAAAACGTCCACAGTCTTTCCGGTTTCAATCTTCAGTAAAATATAGCGAAGCATACTTTTAAACACCACTGTGTGTGTTTTTGAACCTAAAGAGATCTTTCTCTTGTTTGTACTTTTAAATTGGTTCAACCCCTATTATTCTGCAAAGAGTTAAGAGTATTATTGTTGATATTGATATTTAATTAATGAGTTCGAGGCTTCACTGTAGTGCACAAACTCCGTCCTCTCTCGATGAGTAACCGTTAGTGTTTGCACGCTCGCGGGCACTCTGTCTCTCTCGCTCGGCCCACAGACAACTTATCAGATATTTTCTTTTGTCCAGGGCTTAATAGAGAGAGAGAGGAGAACGCAAAGAAAATCGTTCGGTTTTGGTAGCATTCGCAAATTAGTCGTCGAACGCTGAGCAACATATTCATAAAAAGGTGTCTAGCCATCGAATGAATAGATGTTTTTCGACGCGGTGGTGGAAATTATGAAATAATCGCTTTGCGCGTGTGCTAAAAAGGAAACAGCGTGACCAATTCTTCAGATATCCCAGTATATATATTAAAGATCAACCATGGCTACCGAAACCACGAAAATGGTGAGTTTGATTTCGAGCTCCTGGTAATTACTCGTGATTAGAGAGGTGATTAGCATTTCCTGCTGCGACATTGGGAACGTGGCAGCGGTTTCACATTTTGGGTTAATGGTTTTTCTTTGACCTTGAACCGGCTTTAATGCCCGCCAAGCCCCTAGGACTTTTAACGGCTTTTCATAACGACAAATTGCGATCTAATGGAAACCTGGTTTGACTTAAAGTCAGCGTGTGGCACTTCGGTTAGGTAAGAGAGTGGTGTTACGCAAACAGAATTCAAAATCAGGTATCGCTGATATATGTAGCAGGCGCTACTCAACAGATTTTAGAATGATTATGAGATCACTTTTCAGATTGGGTCCTTACTTTAAAAATATTTTCCACCCAAAAGATAATACCAAAATATTTTGCTCTCTTATTCAGCAGCTCGATTAAGTGGGCTTTCTATCAAGTGTCGTCATACTGTTTACACACCCACTTAACAACCCATGACCAGTTTTTTATTGTGCTGCGAAGATATCTCTATTTCACTTATCTGTTACCTAACTTAAGAAGCGCATTTTTGTGCAAAATCTTCGGAAATTACGTTTCTTCTCCCCCTCCTCTTTCCCAGCATTATCTCTCTCGAGTTTGGTCAACCACCTGACTGAAAAATTAAATGACGACACCGAAAGATAACAATATGTACGCAATTATTCAGATTCAGCTAAATAATTACCATACCCCAGGTTTCTCAAGGCAATTAATGGAAAGGCTTATAAAGCTTAACTTTTTTTGCGAACCCGCCCGTAAACCTTTTTATTGGAGAGCAAATTTAAACACGTGCGATAACGTTAAGTCTGGGATTTCCAGAAGCGCGAGGACTGTAAACAGACTTTATGGAACCTGGAAATTTCGGTCAAATATAATATTTAGACAGAAGCAGGTTAACGTTTTAAGCCCGAAGATTTCTTTTAAAAGGATGATATAATAAGTCAGCAGTCCTCTATATTTATTTTTTGCATTAATAAATTGTGTATAATATAAAGAGCAAAAAGATAACTTGCTTGCCCTGAATTATTAACTAAGAAACTCGGTTACGAATCTATTTAATTTACCTTGATTGGTGTTCTTATTTGTGATATAACTGACATAAATCAAAATAATTAATCCTTTTCGGTAATCCGTCAACATAAAATAAACGAAGATAACAAATTGACATAGTATACGTAGGTATTTCAAGTGTCAACCCATTTTTCTTGCCCAGAGGGTCCAAAGTTCTATTTAATAAATTGCAAGTTCAAAATCCAAAACAAGACAAAACATGTCCGCATTTAAAAATTTTAGTACATTTTGGATATATTTAGAAACCTCAAGCACTTTGGCCGTTGGGCATTTGTTTACCCACAAATTGGCGTATAATCTCCATATTACCTTGAAGAAAATACTTTTTTTGTGGACCCGCCCCCACACGTGACATGGAATGACGCAAAAGGAAAAACAATTGCAGACGTAGATCCGAAGAGTGTTCGTACATACATATTTCAATATTTTAGAAAATAATATATGCGTTCAATATTCGCTAAGATTTGGTGAACTTTGCTTGGAATAAATTTTAGGCATTACCTAACGTGACAAATAAAAATGAATTTCGATTCCATCTCGATTCTTAATCGATATCGCATTTAGTGTCGTCTTTATTTATTTGATTATGCTACAAAGTGATTAAATGTGGGTCAACGCAATCTGAGCCTTGATTTTCGGTTTGTTTTGTTTTGGCAACAAAAAACGAGTTGCAAAAATCTTGAAACAAATTTATTGGCCGAAGACAAACTGGTTTCGCGTCAAGCACAAGGGGGTTTCCTAAGTGAGAGCCAGGCCAAAGATCTGTTTTAACTTAATTTTAAACTTGCACGTTTCACGTATTAATGGTCAAGCAATTAATGACCCAATATGGAGAATCCTTTCAGACTGAAAAAGGCTCCATTGGAAACAGCTTTAATTCCTGAACTTCTTACAATGGTCTTAAGTTAAAGCTGGCGAATGGTAAGAAATTTTAATTGCCATGCAGGTAACCAACTTCGGCCTTAGCAAGTTAATTGCCTGCAAATAAAATTAATTACCAACTGTTTAGGTGCTTGGTATTTACAGAACTGAAACTGAAACTTTTCTGCAGTACATTTTTAGAAACCCTTTTAACTGGGTTTTCGTTCCTGTGCATATGTGTAGTCAATATGTTTGTAAGCACACAAGTGCTTTTTATTTAACTTTATTATGATTAATTCCACTGTATTTCATTATCGCCTTCCGTCTGTGCTCAATTAAGTTACATTTCGTATCATTCAATGCAATAAAGTGATCTCACTTGAGGCGTTCGCTATAAAAAACTCCACAACTCATGATTCACATAAATATGTATGGGAATTTTTCTTGTTTATAAGATCAAAGAAAAAGTCATGCACTTAAATGTGGCGCTTGCTTTTGATGCAATTATCTCCCTTTCAGTGAAATTCAATAAGTAGTTGAGTAGGACATTTTTAGCCTTATTTCTTAGAGTACTCATATTTCCATTGACTCTCGGTATACTCAATACTTTTCAGACTTCTAAGCAAATTGTCCTTGTTCTCAATTGGGTCGATCTAATCAAAAATTTATGGACATTTTCCAGTCGACTTTGAAATTTGTTCGCGTATTGATTTTTTCGTAGCTTGGCTCAGGTTCTTGCTCGGGCTGTTGTTGTAACTGAGAAAAAGTACCGATGTATTTTAATTACCTTTTTTTATTTATTTAAATAAAGCCTTTATTTGAATTAAACGCAGGCTCACAAAACCAAAAATGTTTTTGTATAGACATTCAATCTTGATTTGTAAACAGGTTCTGGCCATGTTTTGATTAATTAGTAATTCAATATAATGTTTCAAGTTATCAGTCAATTTAAAATGCGTCAAAAATAAAATATATGGTACCGTAATCAAAATCGCACACTTTTTAGCAGCTTATCTACTATCAGGCATTTTAGTTGCTAGCCAATCTATTTATATATTAAAATGAAATCTATTTTTCCCGAGTGTATCATATGATTTAGGGAAAACGCATACTTAAACTTAAATGAGAGGTAATTTCACCACCTTTCGGTGATTCAGAAATCTTAAAGTATCTTAATTAAGTGTACCCCACTATCTTATTCGGTCACACTTATTTTTTATCAGCTTAAAGGAAAACCCCACCAGTGAAGCATGCCAAACGCAGATGATAGAACATCTACACACGGCATGAGCACAGGAAAAGCTCCAAGTCCATGTCAGCAATCGATGGCAGTGGCAGCCACTTGTCACATTCATATCTTTTGCACTCAATGTAAGCGAATAAAATGTTTACCTGGAAACGAGTTTCGCATTGAGATTGAGTTGACTTGTTGAGTTGTTCCAGTGCATTCTGGACCTGTTGTCGACTTTCACCCTGTGAGTGGATGTCCTCCCCATCGAGAAAGTTGCACTGCTTTTGACCAGATTACATGGGCCGTAAATCATCAACGCTAAATTGCTGGAAACTACTTAGTATACGATTATTCTAAAATTTTCGGTAGGTTTTAGTCTGCAAGGTTATTTTTTATTGTTTTAAAACGCAAGGTTTGATTTATAATTAAATTCGTCTAAAAGTTTTACACACAAAAGGCAGCTACTACACACTACAATAAGTACCATTTCAAATGGTCGCAAATTTTATTGTACTAAATGAAACATGATCCAAAAAGTATAAAGGTTTTATATTTAACCTTTTGTTTAATTTGAACAATCTTTTAGGCGATATATTATAGATGTTGTCCTATAATATTTGTTAAGAAAATTCATTTTAAAACATTTCCTTACCATTTGTAAGCCATTTACATATGTATATGTATACATTTTAAAACTAAATTGGAATACAATTTTTGTAAACATTATTTAAGGCACAGCGATAGAGTGGATTTAAGTCTCTAGGCACTTCCTGACCTGCAACAGGTGCGCTACCGTTATTAAATTCAGGTGTCGCCAGGTTGATTAGAGGGGCTGCAAGGCAGGTTGACAAGTCTGGTCTGGATTTTCCAGCAGTTCCCGTTTAAACGGTCTATTGCTCGCAGTCTCTATTTTTGTTTTTGTTTTTTCTCTCTGTTTCTGGTAACTTGCTCGCATTTGTTTTCTTGGATTGCACATGGCAACGGGTTTCTCCTCCCTCCCTGTCTATCTCCTCTTCGCTTTGTTTGGGTGTCTGCTATGAATTCTTTTTTTTTCTATTCGGATTCCCCATGTTTTTTCCTGTTGCTTCTCGTCTATTGCAGCTTTTGTTTTGAGATCTTCTTCGCTCTCTTCCTGGGTAGTTAGTGGGGAACTCGTGAATAATATCTTTGGGGATTTATAAAGGGGAATACTTACTTCAATAAAAAACACTATTATGTTGTAGGTGACAGAAATCCCCAAATCGTACCTTATACCTCAAATTTTGTATCCCTACTTATTTTTCATTTATTGAAAGATTGTCCTATATTGTACATATGTATATACAAGGCAAGTGTCTATCTTAAGAAGTGGTGTATTTTTACAAACATTTACATACATAACTCCAAAAATTCTTTAAAATGATATTGCATCATACGATTTTAATCTGTATTAAAATAATTCCTAATCTTTACTTCCTTACTTAAAGTTTTCAGTTAAAACCTAAGCCCGTGCAAACCAAGTTTAAATGTTTTTTCGAAGAATTGAAACAGTTTTTTTTTCTCAGTGCAACAAAGCCTTCCTTAAAATCAACTTGAGACTCACGCAGTCATCACTAGTCGCCCAAAAACGTTCGAGTCTCTTCTTCTTTTCTCCCGCTCGCGCGCTCGCACACACACCGATGCAAAATACCCAACACCTACACGGCGCTGCACCAACACAACGACAACGGGCGGTCGAAGCGGTGGAGCTATCCCCAAGTAAATTCAGTCGCGCACTTCACCGTTTGCGAACCGGGCGTGTTTACTCTCCTGCTGCTCTCGAGATCCGAGTCCTCCGATAAGGACTTAAGCCTAAGTGGAACTACAGGCTCCTGCCGTTTTAAAAAGTAAATAGCGCAATTGTTTAGATGGCCGAGTTGAGAGAGAGAGCAGTACCCCTCATTCCTTTGGAAACGATAAAAAACGGACATTCATCAGCCGCCATGTGCTGCGTGGTCCTCTCTCGTTCTCTAAGCGATAAAAATACCGCGTTGCTTTTTCTGTTTATTTTAAAATTTTGGTTAGGAAGTGAACTCAAACTCGTGACGTTTGCATTTTCTCAACCGAAAAGTAAAAGAAAACCCCTCGAGAAACCGTTGACCGAGTGGCAGTGTGAAGGTCTCGGCACAAAGAACCGTGAACAAGAATCTTGGGAGGGGAGGTTCACTTAAAACAACAATAACGCCAATGGTCTCTCTAGAAATGCATTTCTTCTTCCCAATATTTACTTCTCCGCTGAGCGTTAACATGTCGCGTTCTTTGTTTCAACGGACTTCTTTCTCGCCTTTTTTCGATCCATTTGTTCTTCTTCCCTTATCCAAATGCACCTGAGGAAGAAGAAGAATGTCGATTTGTACAGTTCAACTTTAAAAATTCACTCTTCCATGGGTTTTTGTGTCGCTGTCCAGTGGCTGAAGCAAATTTACAGTTTCGTTTATTTTTAATTTGTTAAATTTTTGTTGTGATTTAAAAATCGTATTGTGGTTTCAGCAAGTTCAAGGAAAATTTTACCATGCATAATTCACAAATCGAAATAAAAATGTTTCCTCTAAAAATATTTTAATCTAAACAAATCGGCTTACTTCCTCAGCAGAAATGTTTATATTGGTATTTTCTGAGAAATTTACCCAAACAAGAATTTCAAAATGTCTTTAAACGAACAAATTCAAATTACATAATAATCAGTACTGGAACACTTAATGTGACACATGTTTCCACTTATGGAAGTTCCATCTAAATGCATTTCTTTTCTGTGCTATTTTGGTTGAGCAGACTTCAACTTTTGCTCTTGCACTTTTCCAAGATTTTATTTACAATTTACTTTTATGTTTATTTTCCTTTAAAACGTAAAGAATTTTAGTGTTTTGTCGGTGAATTTGCTAAATTTTTCCAAGAGTAGTATGTGTGGCACATTCTCTTAATTGTTTTGAAGAGCCTTTGTAGACTGAAAGGAATGCATTGTGGGTTCAATCAAAAAATATTATTTTATAACAGACACATTAATCTAAAAATAAATGGGAATCTTACGATTTACACATTTAAATATTTAGCAAACGCCTATTATTCATTACAAAAAAACTCACCTAATTGTTTTCACTTAACAACCGATTAAAAATTCACCCTACAAATGAGCTTAAAATTACCGGTTATTAGTAACAATTAATTTCGTATTTTTCTATTGTGAACATTTCACATTTGTCTATACTGATCATGCTACTGTATAATATACATATGTATGTACATATGTTCTTATATAATATACTTAGCGATCAGATCGTTTCTTATCAATTGAGTAATGCGCATCAATGAGATTTTGGACATGCGGCTATGTCTGTCTAGCACTTTCTTTATGGAATTATTTTAGGTGGCACCATAACTATAACATTCCATATGAACATGAACAAATGTTTCCGTTGTGCCAGCTGATTCATATACTTAAATCAAAAAGTTGTATTTTGTTTTACCGCCAAGCCATTGAACTTACTGGATAAATAAGAAAAAAAGCTGTTTTCTGCAAAATTCGGCGAATGTACTATATGATATACATATAAGTACGCAACCACCGCAGCTGACATTACATAATAATTAATTTTGATATGTCTAAAGTTTCATTTATTATTGGAATCTATAAAAATCAAGGCTGTCTTATCATCCATTGCGATTCCAAGGCCTAGAGTACCTGATAAGGAAATGAAATGAACTGACAATACATGTGTAAAAACAACTTAATAAAATTATATTAAATTAGTCGCACAGTTAGAAACCAGTTAGACACGTTCAGAGGATTCAGTTAACAGTTAAACAATAAAAAGACTGCATTTATTTACCGGGAAAAATGTAGTTATTTTTTTGCGTGTTTTATAAATGCAAAAAAAATTGTTTAGGAAAATGATAAAATGTATATATTTTTTTTTAACATAGTGCAGGAACTGTTGTATGAAAAAATTCTTAATATGTATACGCTAATCATTCCCTAAATGAGGCGTTAAAGGCAAATAGGCGAAATTCACACCGTTTCTATAAGGGAAAGATAACGTGATTTTTGTTTTTGTTGATTAATTCACACCTAATAAGCAGCGTAATCAAATACCCAACTAAAATATCAATATATCGTAAAAAATGACATAGAAAGGGGTTTCTATATGATAACAAAAAGGTATTAGTAAAAATATATTTATGTATATGTACGCTGATCTTGTGGTCATTGAACGCAAGGGAACATAATATACATATGTACATACTCTATATTGGGCGATAAGCGTGTTTTGGGTATTTTTATTTAATTTCTCTCTTAAAAAGCAGTTTATAAAAGAAATGTATTTACATACCTTATAAACCCAAAAATCTTCTTTTGACTAAGAAACCGTAACAAGGCATTTTATTTTTTCCAAAAGTTATTTAATCTTGGTTGGATTTCTTTTCATTTCTCTTGTTGTTTACATTTCACAGCTGTTTCTTAAGCAGACAGATATGGAGTTTATTGTGCCTCCAGGGGTTTTTTCTTTTTAAGAACTGAATGAATAAAATACCATGTTTACTTCTATTTCACATGTCTCTGTTTTATAGACTTCAAAATAAACATGCAAATTTTTCTAACGTTTTTGTTTTGGCTTCGCTTTTGTTGACAATGTCAATGTCAAGTTCAAAGTTTTACTGCCGCACCGCTGACATACTAATTGTTAGAACAATTATTTTAACAACAGCTCGAACGGCTTGCCAATCCATTTTTGGCTTGCTTACAATAAATCCAAGTTAGTTACTAAAATAGAAAATGTCGTTGTTCCGATCACCAGGGTTATTTATAATTTATATGCCGAACATTTGTTCGGGAAGTGGAAACGCATGAAGGTAAAAAAGGTTGAATGAATTTCCACTAATTCACTTACTGAATTCCAATTATTTTATGTTTCAGTGCATTAAACTCGGAAACAGTGCCAGTGCGTCAAGATCCGTCTGGCTGCCCCTTCTATTGATAATTATAAAATGTTCTGACAGTTTCCGCTTGTGTTGAAACAAACCACAAATTGATTCTAAAAATGCGATAAAAAAAATAACATGAAATGTGCACACAATTGACAAGGCATTTGTAAACTTTTAGTACACACTTCGCTGTCGATTTCTGAAGTTCTCTAGCGATAACCTGCAGTTAACCTCATCCGAATTTTTAGAGACAAATTACGTGTTGCCATGTGCCTTTGCCTGTGTGAATGAACTAAAAAGAAAAGTGGAATAAAAGCCTGCAATTTCCATATAAAATGTATGCGAATGTCGTAAGGTGATTTGTCTGCTCACTTGAATAATTTTAACGCGTAACCGTCGAGCTGGTTTTTTGAGAAAACATAAGTACAGTCCTGCAGCAACCTTAATTTAACTTACTGGTTTTTGGTAACCCACTTAATAAAGAGTTTCCAGCAAACATGGTTTAATTTTAGCTTTGTATTTGTACTTTGGATCAACTTAATCGGGTTATTCAGCTACGCGCGATTAGAGTCTAAAGTACTCATCTATGACTATATTGTACATACATATATGTACTTGTATTCGACTCAAAGCGAGCACTTGAACTAGAAACTACAATTTCTTATCAAGGGTTTTCTCAACTCCGTTTCTCAAATGGCATATTCAAGCAAACTACAACGTATTGCAAATGGTAAAATGTAAAATCGTTCACTTCGACTTTCGTTTTATAATTTATAACCAGAAGTCCCGATATAAATTCCTTAATTTTTTGTAGTGCACTTGTTATTGTTTATAGGTTCGTTTATATCTTTATGGCGACTAAATTGCCAACTGGATTTCTTTTTTTAATGGACTGGTTTTTCTTATCTACAAACAAATGTATGGCAAAACTGTAAAATTGAAAAATTAATGCGAATGTTTTGGCTAACGAAGGAGCAGCAGACGGAAATTGATTTGAATATTTGCTGGCCGATGCATGAATAATTCGCAAATGTGGTCTGGATAAATTAGTCACAATTTCGATAAACAAAAAAGATTTCCTGTTGTAGTGTTGTTTTAGCTTTCTTTGATGTTTATAAATAGTAACTTGAATTTCAATCTTTAAAACCCAATACTTTTTAATATTTTTGCATTACTGCATTGTATTGAATTCTCTGATTTTTTACACTTCATTAAATATTATTGCCCGATTAAAAGCGTCAATATGGTTGGAACAATTATATGAAACAATTCCTTTAATTTGTTTGCAGTTTCAATTGGTGTTAATTTCATTAATTTCTTTTGCTTTTCTGGGAAGACAACCTGTTACTCATCCGAATATGGTAATTTCGTAACATAAATTCGCCTCCTAACTTCCGCATTAAAATGCTTTTGAAGTGCAGCCAAGCAAAAACTGGGCATTTACGTATTGGATATTAAAGTACACTATATATAGCCTTCTTTATTGATACGCTAATTTACGCAAATACGTGAGCATTTGAGGGTTAATAAATAATGTTTTTTTCCCAGCTGGGTACACTTGCCCGCTTGGAATGTGCCGCTCTCCATGACCCATTACTTCAATTAACTTGTAAACACTTTACTCTACTTATCGAAAACGCCCAGAGACAACAACAACAACAACATCTACTATATCTATTCTCCATTATAGTGCAGTTCTCTATCTGAGAATCTGAGGAGTGTGCCCCAAGCGCCAAACAAAGGCATTTGGAAAATTGTTTGTAAACGGGCCATTAATTTATTTACTGCGAGACAACATTGACAAAAGCCGGCGAATATTTCTTTGGTCCGTTGATGGTGGTCCAAAGACAATTTCATTCGATTTCGGCTCTCTGATTGTCTTGCCTGTCAGGCAGTTCAATTATCTTTAAGGAGTTCCCTCCCACTTCAAACGAAACAAAGCGTGAACATTTGGTGTTCCGTGTGGGAAGTCCCAACTATTATTAGTTGATTCCCCACATTATTGTTGTAAGCTGTCAGAAGTTGTGCTTACACTGCCATTATATATAATTGAGGTTTATTGGGCCCTAATTAGATCGACAGATGATACCTAATCCGGATTCAATCAAGCGCTAAGTATTTTTAAAACATGTTTTGCTGGATCTTTAAAAATACAGTTTCAATTATTTACGTCACAAGTTAAAAGACTTGACTACTAATCTTTTTCTGCTAAACGTATCCGTATCACTTTTACCCCAGTCAGTCACTTCAGAACGATCTGAAAAATTCCACTGACAAACTGAGGGCATATATAAATTCAATTTCAGTTTAAAGATGTAATAATATATATTATTCATATACCTAAGAAGACGCTTGTGTATTCCGAATGCTTGATTGATATTCAGGACGCCGTTGACGTAGATGGCAATTCTCAATCAGATTGTTTGCTCATCGTGAGCACTATATAGATCGGTACATACATATGTACATATGTATGTACATAAGAATGTTCTACAATATTGGTTCCACTTTATCAATTTCTGCCTCCATCTATCTCTGTGTTGACGATCTTTCATCTCAGTCTCGCTATCAGGAGAAAAGCAACAAGTTCTGTAGGTGATAGAATTCTATGATAGTAAACGCCAAAGGGGGCGTGCCATTCCCATAAATATTACTCAATTCATAGTTCTGGGAAACGAACAATGCTTGTGATAGAATTAAATTAAAAAATACTTTGCCATGTGGAAATATTTTTTAATTAATAATTGATATTAGTTTTCTCAGGGTATAAATATACTTGTTAGCATTAGGGTGTTATTACTTTCCTAAAGGTTTATTTGATGTATCCAAAAGACAAATTTACCAGGAAGTGCGTTATAAGAATTCTATTCTATATGAAACTATCTAAATTTTGCTAGACAGGCAGAAAGAAAACTAGCATTATGATGACAGATATAGTGTATCCCGGGACGGGTTGTCTATTTCAATACCTCTCGATCTCGTGCCGAGCAGTGTGAAATTAAATGCCATCGTTCGTCGCCTATAAACAAAAGGAGATCTCCAATTACGTTCGAACGAAGCACACGAATAGTCTATCAACAACAACAAAAAAACCAGTGTAGAAAATAAATAAACACAATAAAAAAAATCGAAAAAACATCGTCGAAAAAATAAATAACAAGCTAAGATAACCGCGGAAAAAAACTCTCGCAAATATGTTAACTAAGCTAATATATTTTATTTGCTTCACATGCCACTGTTTAAACTAAATATTTACCGATTGTAAGCCAGGAAAGCAAAACAGATAGGATCGGTTTGTTGTAGTTTTCGACAAATGGAAAAATTATAGGAAAAAAGAAATACAAAATGTTTGCTTCTCTCCACTTTTTAAAGTGAATTAAATATCTGCGAAATTTAATAGGCAACTTGTCAAAAAATAAATGATAATGATGCATTACAAATTTATGTTTGTAACACTTCTATAAATCAATTAAGTAATTACACTTTCAATTTCATGAGGGTTATTGCCGTAATCCAATAACTTTAAGAAAGGTTTAACTGGCCATCACTTATGCGATGTATCTTTGGCACGTAAGCCACCATATCTAACAGGCAATAAAATATAATTCCTGACGACATTTCACTTTTTGTTGTCAGTCAACGGCCTCTTCAGAGGTTGCATGCGGCACGCCACAGATCCATTTTAACAGCTCTGTCTCTTTTGTATCTCTATCTACATATGTATCTGTCCCAGATGGCTTGCCCCAGGAAAGTTTACAAACTTTATGCTCATATCAGTGACATTGACATTGCCGTTGAGGGCCGCTTCTACGCCGATCTATAATTAGCTGGTGCTTTCGTTTAGATGTATCTGCAAAGCCATAAAGGCATAGATACATCATTGTGTGAGCTCCAACAGAGGGTTAAAATGTAAGGAATGGGTGTGAGCCGCTCTGTTATTATATTTGTCTGGGGCTTAATGGCTTGATTGATTGTTAGTTTCATGCCGATAAGAGGCCTCGCAGGAAGCAATGATTAGGACGTGCCTCCGTGTTTCACTCGAATGTGTTGTATTTTTGTTTGGACAACTTTTGCATAGATTACCCAACGACGGAAGAACTGGGAGCAGGGGTTATGACGCCCGTGATACGGAATACCGGCCAATTGTCGTCATGAATATGCGACTAAAAAATAACCCATACTGTACTATAAGTAACACAAGGCGAGAACTATACATCGCCACATTTTCTGGCACAACAACTTGGACATTTTCGTTCCGTTCCATTCTGATTCACTTCCATTTTTACTGTAGGCTTTTTTCTTTTTCGCGAAAAGAAATTATATCACGCGCCTGATTTCCATATGCTTCTTTATTTATTTATTTTGTTTTTGTTTTTTGGTGCGATGGTGTGCCAGTTTCAAATGATTTTCAATTGGTTACGTTTCGGCTGGCATATATATTGATGGATGGCATTTTAATGAAGCGTGAAACGGTGACAATCGGTTGTTGGGTTCGGTACGGGGTTCACTTTACTCTGGGTTCTCCGACAACTTGGCAACAAGTGGTTCAGCCTTTTATGGGGGGCTCGTTCTTGATTCCTGAGCATTTTAATTGATTTATTTTCTTTGCTCTATTTGCTTATAGATCTACACCCCTCCTCCGCTGGACGTCAAAATGGAAATGTAAGTATTACAAATATGATAAGTCTTAATCGGATAGCAGGAATAATGATTTGTTGTTATTTTAATGAAAAAGTGATTACCTGAAATCAATTAAATAATGATTGATGCTTATTTCTTTTATTTTACTGTACATATTATTTATTGATGAAAAATGTCTTTATTTCAATCTTTTTTCACAACTTCGGAAAAACAAATTCAAAAGTAGAACAAATCAGAATTAAAACCTTAAAAGAATGGGATACAATTTGCAAGTCGTTCTTTACTGATTTTATGTTTTTTCTACAGTGAAATTAATGAACAACCCGAACCACCTGTAAAGTGCTCCAACTTCTTCGCAAACCATTGGAAGGGACTGGTGGTCTTCCTGGTGCCTCTGCTATGCCTGCCCGTGATGCTTTTGAACGAAGGAGCCGTAAGTTGTAACTTTACACAATACCCAAATCGAATTTGATGCAATTTGTATTCATTTTGCAGGAGTTCCGGTGCATGTACCTTCTCCTGGTTATGGCTGTGTTTTGGGTGACAGAAGCCCTGCCACTTTATGTGACCTCCATGATGCCCATTGTAGCCTTCCCAGTAATGGGTATAATGGTGAGTCTGTGTTAAAATAAGTTAATTAATACAATTTTAACTGATTTAACTTTTCCCGCTGCATAGAGCTCCGACCAGACTTGCCGATTGTACTTCAAGGACACCTTGGTTATGTTCATGGGTGGCATTATGGTCGCCTTAGCTGTGGAGTACTGTAACCTGCACAAGCGCCTCGCCTTGAGGGTAATCCAGATCGTGGGCTGCAGTCCCCGCAGATTACACTTTGGCCTCATCATGGTGACGATGTTCTTGAGCATGTGGATCTCGAATGCCGCCTGTACGGCCATGATGTGTCCTATTATCCAGGCTGTGCTGGAAGAGCTCCAGGCCCAGGGCGTCTGCCGGATCCACCACGAACCCCAATACCAAATCGTCGGAGGCAACAAGAAAAACAACGAGGATGAGTAAGTTTTTTGATAGTAGATAAGTTCTCTGGATAATTAGTGAAGTTCTTGTGGATTTCCATGAATATGTTGTGCAACTAATGTTTTTAAAATTGATATGACATGTGATAATGATATATGATAATTCATTTTGTATCCAATATCCAAGTATTCGGATCGTTATCCCCAAAGATGGCAAAGGCCTGATTGTTTTCGCGAGTCATCCGATTCTAATTTCTAATTTTTTTAAACTACTACTGTCATGTCGATTCATTCTTTTTGTTTAAAACAATAAAAACATTGTCGTACAAATTAGTCTGCAAGAACGATCCAACATACTGTCCTTTAAAATTGTCCTTCCTTGTTTCAAATTTCGTTCTACAACAATTTTGTACTATAATATTTACTAAATAAATAAAATAAAAATGTAACTTATCTTTCAGGCCCCCATACCCCACCAAGATCACTCTGTGCTACTACCTGGGCATTGCCTACGCCTCCTCGCTGGGCGGCTGCGGCACCATCATCGGAACAGCCACCAATCTGACCTTCAAGGGCATCTACGAGTCGCGCTTCAAGAACTCCACGGAGGAGATGGACTTCCCCACCTTCATGTTCTACTCGGTGCCGTCCATGCTGGTGTACACCTTCCTGACCTTCCTGTTCCTGCAGTGGCACTTCATGGGTCTGTGGCGCCCCAAGAGCAAGGAGGCCCAGGAAGTCCAGAGGGGCAAGGAGGGCGCCGACGTGGCTAAGAAGGTGATCGACCAGCGCTACAAGGATCTGGGCCCCATGTCCATCCACGAGATCCAAGTGATGATTCTGTTCATCTTTATGGTTATCATGTACTTCACTCGCAAGCCGGCGGCCACTTGGGGTTGGGCTGTCTGGCTGGACTCGAAGTAAGTGGCTATTTATGTCAAGTTTTATTTTCTAAAACAAGTTTTACTCTGGTTACCAGTAGGCACTAAGCAGTTTTTATTTTTTTGTTAACTTAACGTGGTCATAAAATCTTCTTCAAATTATTTAACTAAAAACGAACGAGTACCAGCTTCCGAATAAGTTATAAATTACTAAATAACGATAAGAATAATGAATAATGACTTGTGTTGATTAGGCAAGTAATTATTAAGATCTCTGATCTACAATCAGTAGACAATATTTATTAGTTATTAAATCATATTTGACAGTTACTTTTGACATTTATATCTATTTTTATTAAACTAGTATTCCATTTAAAACCTATAAATACTTCCAAACTAACTTATTTGTACCTTAACTTTTTTCAGGGACGTTCGCAACTCGATGCCCACTATTTTCGTTGTGATCATGTGCTTCATCCTGCCCGCCAACTATGCTTTCCTGCGTTACTGCTCAAAGCGCGGAGCAGTGCCCACGGCTCCCACTCCCTCGCTGATCACCTGGAAGTTCATCCAGACCAGGGTGCCATGGGGTCTGGTCTTCCTGCTGGGCGGTGGATTCGCCTTGGCCGAGGGCAGCAAGCAGAGCGGCATGGCCACGTTGATTGGCAACGCACTGATTGGATTGAAGGTCCTGCCCAACGCTGTGCTCCTGCTGGTGGTCATCCTGGTGGCTGTGTTCCTAACAGCTTTCAGCTCCAACGTGGCCATCGCCAACATCATAGTTCCCGTGCTGGCTGAGATGGTGAGTGCAATGCAATACAAACATTTCTGAATGTAAATAACAATTTAAAATTGTTGTTTTCAGTCCCTGGCGATTGAGATTCATCCTTTGTACCTGATCCTTCCCGCTGGCCTGGCCTGCAGCATGGCCTTCCACCTGCCGGTGAGCACTCCGCCCAACGCTCTGGTTGCCGGCTATGCCAACATCAGGACAAAGGACATGGCCATCGCCGGAATCGGCCCGACCATCATTACCATCATCACCCTGTTTGTCTTCTGCCAAACCTGGGGCCTGGTCGTCTATCCAGCGCTCAACACGTTCCCCGATTGGGCGAAGGCGTATGCCGCCGAAGCGCTGGTTAACAAGACGCACTAAGTTAGTTAGTCACTAGTGTAAGTTAACTCACAGACCGCCACAGCAATAAAATCATAACATTTTAGGAAATTGTACAAGAAAAAGTGCCTTTGCTGACAGCGAACGTTAAACAATATGAAACGATACTTGCATTTTAAAATTGCGAAAAGTGTTGAGACAAAAACACTATCAATTGTTTAGCAAAACGTGTTGAACGGAGTTGGTTAAAAGTTTGTCAGCAAACTCAGCTAAATATAAAGAATATAATTAAATGTTACTTAATCACTGCATTTAGCAAAAATTATGTCAAAAATGCAAGGAAAAAAATTGAGTTAAAAACCTAGACTGAGAGAACGTACATATTCATACATGTTTTGCATTTTGTAAAAAGATAAATGAACAACTTACTCAAAACTTGATTGCGAACCGAAACGAGCACACAAATAGCCTTAGTGTAAGCTTTAATGATACTGTGTAAATTTGCAAATGCTTTATATTTTATATAGTTTGTAAAAAATAAAAAATTGAATAAAAAGCTCAAACAAAAATAAGATAAAAGTTTTCTAGTTTCAAAAATAATTTTTATTGGAACTAAAATTTAAAAAGCCGCCCACTTTCTTAATAAATATCGATAACTCTGAAAAGTCGATTGTCTGCTTCCTTAGTACTGTACAGTTTTAAATCTATTGCTCTCGGCTTATCACTCACTGGTAGTTTGGCAGTCACCAGAAATCAATTTACTGAAATCTGATCTCTGCTCAAATACCTTGTCCTGTCCTTTTGTCTTATATGATAAAGCCTTTCGAATTTGATAAAAGTAAATTCGTAAGTCAAGAGTCGCTAAAAAACTGCATATTCCTAATTCGGAAGTGGCCTGCTTGTCTTGCAAATTGATTTTAATAATGTTGTGGATTCAAAGTAAATACAAGAAATCACCTGTGTACAACGCAAAGATTTCAGGTGTTCTTTTAGATTCCATGTACATACATAGGTTCTGTACGGCATATATTTTCTTTATACATATTTTACTTTAAATAAAAAAGCAACCAGGCTTTGTTTTCTTGAAAACCTTCCAAAAAATCCGGTCAGCTTGAGGTGAGTTCGTGTTGTTATCGAAATCTCAGGATTGCGCTGACAATCGGTTTGTGTGCCCAGATGTAGGTTGTTTTCTGGCGCGCATTTAAATTGAAACTAAAATTTAGTTTTTAACTTGGATCAAAATCGTATCATATATATATATAGTTATATAACTTCCATTCAAAAAAATTAATTTTAAACTTCGTTCTATTTTTTAATTAATAAAATGTATAGAAAACTAATAGAAAATATGGGTTTGAGCTAAACATATTAAACTTAAATTTAAGTTTAAACCATTTAGACCATGAGGTACAAAACTTTAATTTTTGTTTATCATTATTGTTATTTTTATTTATTTTGTACGAATTACGAAAATATTAGTTTTTGTTTTCTGGCCTATTATTCAGGTGTCTTCTGGAGTAGCCAAGATGGGCTTGGCTCCCATCAAGAAAGTCTTCCAAGCAGTTGTTATCATTTAAACCGAACCCCTGCCAGGACTCAAGCCGATATCAACTGAGGCATATTAAAAGATATCGGCCAGATGTAGAGGCACACCTTGGCCAAACTAGATTGGAATGAAGATGGTCTCCAGCTGGTGGCCACAATCTTTTATAGCGATCATCGATAATCAATGGATAACATCCAAGTTTTTGTATCAAAATATAAAGAATTTATTTTATATCCATTGCATATAATTGTATTTCGTGTACAGCTAAGACAATTTTGAATATCAAAACAAGACAAGACACATTATGTGGTTAAATCGATATTAGCCCGCAACCAAAGAGCCGAAAAGAGTTTGCTTTTGTTAGTCCATTTCGGAGTGTTGTCGGCTTCAAGTGGATTAATAGTAATTAAGGTCAAAAACCAAGTCGGATGCCGTTTAGCTTAGAACTTGGAGGACTTGGCCAGGTTAAGCTCTTCGGTCAGCATGCGACCAAAGTCCGCATGCACCTGGGTGAAGTTCTTGACGGCCCGCTCCTGCAGGAACTGGCTGGCGTTGCTCAGATGGCCGGCGATGTTCTGCACCAGACGCTTCTTGGCGCACTTGTCCAGGACGTGCACCCAGAAGTCGGTCACCTGACCGTAGTTATCCTCCGTATCGCCGCTGCTGTAACGGTAGACATCCCCGGTCACGGGGCAGCACGAGGACAAGGCCCTGGCCCTGGGGCACTCCTGGGGTCCGTTGAAGGAGTTGGGGAAGTAGTTAGGAGCTCCGTCCTGGTTGTCCGTCACGTTCATGGCCCCGTCGCGTTGGAAGTTCTCCACCCGCACCTTGTAGGGGCAGTTCACCGGGATCTGCAAGTAGTTCGGTCCCAGGCGGTGGCGATGGGTGTCCGAGTAGGAGAACAGACGACCCTGGAGCATCTTGTCCGGAGAGGGCTCGATGCCGGGCACCAAGTGAGCCGGGCTGAAGGCAATTTGCTCCACCTAAAGATCGATACATATAAATGGGTTAAAAATGATTAAAATATTCAACAATGTATAAATAATTGAATGAGCTACAAACCTCGGCAAAGTAGTTCTTGGGATTGCGATCCAGCACCATCTTGCCCACGGGAATCAGAGGGAACTCCTTGTGCGGCCAGACCTTGGTCACATCGAAGGGGTTGTACTTCCACTTCTTGGCCTCGTCGAAGGTCATGACCTGGATGTACATGGTCCAGCTGGGGAACTTGCAGGTCTTGATCCTGTTGTACAGATCGCGAATGCTGTAGTCCGGATCGCTGCTGGCCAACTGATCGGCGGTCTTCACGTCCAGGTTCTTGATGCCCTGGTCCGTCTTCAGATGGAACTTGGCGTAGATGGGCTCGCCCTTGGCGTTGATCAGCTTGAAGGTGTGCGAGCCATAGCCGTTCATGTGGGTATAGCCGTCGGGAGTGCCACGATCGCTGAACAGGAAGCTCACCTGGTGCGTCGATTCCGGACGCAGGGTGAGGAAGTCCCAGAACATGTCCGGATCCTTCAGGTGCGTCTGCGGGTTGCGCTTCTGGGTGTGAATGAAGCTGGGGAACAGGATCGGGTCGCGAATGAAGAAGATCGGGGTGTTGTTGCCAACCAGATCCCAAACACCATCCTCGGTGTAGAACTTGATGGCGAATCCTCGGGGATCGCGGGCAGTATCTGCCGATCCGCTCTCGCCGCCCACGGTGGAGAACCGAATGGCCAGTGGAGTGCGCTTCTTCACCTTGTCGAACATCTTGGCGGCACAGTACTGGGAAATGTCGTGGGTCACCTCGAAGTATCCGAAGGCACCGGCTCCCTTGGCGTGGACCACTCGCTCCGGAATGCGCTCCCTGTCGAAGTGGGACATCTCATCCAGGAAGTTAACGTCCTGCAGCAGCACGGGGCCGCGGGGACCCACCGTCTGGGTGGCGTCCTTGATCCCAATGGGTGCTCCATGGCCAGTGGTGATCGCTCCTGGCGCAACCTGAAAAGCAAAAGGTAAATTTAGTTTAATTTATATATTTATTATTAATCAATTTTAATTGGATAACATTAAAGCTTTTAGTAAAATTGTTTTGCAGAATAAAATTATTATTCAAAATGTTACATTTGTCAGTCGCATATCAAATGCAATAAAAGTAGAAATTTAAAGAAGAGGGTTTTTTGTAGTTTAATCATTATAACCGTATATCTATATACATATAAATATATAATTTTTAAAATATAAAGTAAATTTAATTTGAAATGAAAAAATATGTATTCTATTGTTTAATATTTAACAAAGGGCAGTTGCAAAGTGCAACACCGTAACTTTTTGTTATATAATGCAAGTCCGAAAAGTCCTCTAATCTTATCTGCGCTTAGGCGATAATTCTTTTTTGGGCTGCGGACTTTCATTCCTTTGTTATAATCGCCGGGCTGCCACGAAAAACATAAACATAAAGATTGCACGGCTTTATCTCTCCTGGGGGGGTCACTTTGAGAGGCATTTTATAAAAGTATAAATAATTTCATGCCACTTAAAAAAATTAGATAACCAAGGTGTCTTGAAGTGCTTGCGGATTTTAAAGTTTAGGAATTGGGCCCTTAGTCGCACTAGCTTATAAAACGATCACTTAAACGATTATACATGTTTATTCATTTAAATATTGCTTTAACATTCTGAAAAGTGACATGGGTGGAATTTATTTCAAGCCTTAAAATCAATAAATTAGTAAATACCATTAGGCCAATAAAACTGTCTTCTGTTAGCAGTAATTTCAATTAGCCCACTAACTGCCTGTCATTTATCACCCGGTCTAATCTGCGTTTTGTCTTAATCATCATCTTCCTTGTTTTCAATTAATTTCCCTGGAGTAATCGGACACCACTCCTTAATCGCCTTATTGTACATTTCGCATGCAATCCAAAACTCATTATAAAATGAACTCAGCCAACAATTTGCAAAACTGTCACCGGCTAATGCGCACTGTTTAGCTAATGTATTTGAAACCTGACAACGCCATGCGAAATTCGAAATTGAAAACATTTCTAGAACAGTGCATATAGAATTTTGTACAGAAGGCTGTTTATCAAAGTGAAGCCTCTGGTGATGTGTCAAACATATAAATTAGGCTGCTGTTTATATCTCACAACAAAGTCGTTTGGGTTATAATTTAGGGTGGGGATTGCACACTGAGTGGTAAAAGCAAGAGAAGGTTTACCTTATATCTGGTTTTGCTGTCTATTTAATTAGATCTTAATTCTTAAAAGACAGACGAATAAAAGGGTTTATTAGTTTAATTAACCTTCACACTTTACAACTGATAAATATAATTTGATAACGGCTGTTCGTTTGATAAGATCACCGCCAATAAAAAATTCTTACGAAAAAGTGATTTAAATTTCGAAAATTTATATTCAGCTTTATTATCAGCCTTGAGTTGATATTCAAGTCACATAGCCGTACTGCAGAATTAGCTCACCTGTTTTATATACTCTCAATTTTGTGGGCACTTCTATATACGCTTCTAGAGCTTTTTGCACTTGTTTGTTCATTTTTTGCCCCGTTTCAATCAGAATGGTTTGCACTTTGAGACAACAATGTGGGGCCACTTCAGGGGGCAGATACGCAAAGTGAAGCAAACCGGGAATGGCAATGGGAGTGGAACCGGGATCCGCGCCGCAACAAGTCAATCTGGTTCCTATCAGAGCCCCTTGTTTGTGTGGTGGTAGATATCTCCAAGCGAAGAGCAAACTGATAAGGAAACTTCGCTCGATCTCAAAAAAAGGAATGCAAAACACACCGACTACAGGAAAGTTTTTAATTGCAACATGTCGGCGACGCAAGCGCAACAAAGAGGGTAAACATCGTCTTAATGAGGCAGCTTTATAAGATAAGTGCATCCGATAAGTTTAAGGAGAGATGACATTGTCTACTAGATATTGTTTTTTAGTAGTTGAATCATTATATAGATAAAGTAAACAGGTGATATGAATGTAAATAGGGGAATGAATCTTAAAAGAAGATTTAATTTCATGAGGTTGTTCAAATGTTGCTAAAGCATTTAATTTCGTATGATTATTTTAAATAACCCGAGCTTAAAAAAGCTTAATCAATTAATAATTTGGAATCAAGCAGTGAACAATGATCATATTCAAGTTGTTGATTTATAAAAAAAAACGTTGAATGTGTTTCTTTTTTTCCTACTTATGTATGTATGTTCGACCTTCCACAATGCATTACGTTTCAAAACCACTTTAAAGTGTTTTCCGTGCATTCTCGAAATTCTTGGATATTTCATAAACTTGATTGCAAGATTCCCTAAGAACAAAGAACCCAGTTGCCATGATTATTCACCGAAACAAAGGCAAACAATTAATTGCCTGACAGAATGCAGTTTTCACAGTTTCGTCATAGAAGGTCAAAATCGACTAAAACAACACGAACCAACCAACTGTGGAGCTCTCTTTTCTGGGTCAGTTCGAAACATATTCTCACATACAGTTGGTCTAAACCGGGGGGCGTTCCAACTTAGTTGCATAACCAAATCGGAGAAAGAAAATTAGCATTGACTTATGGCTGGCAAACGCATTTTCCCAGACGGTCTTGCCTTTTCGCATGCTAACCCAAAACAAGTTTCAAGCCGGGTTCGCTGTCACTCGATGGTCGAAGCCCAATGCAACCAGTTTTATGCAACATTGAGCCGGTTGCCCCAAAGTCCATTGACTCCCAGCGAATTTTCCAACCTCAAAGCAGCGCAACAACTATTCGCGGCCCTCTAAAAAGTTCATGTGTATATATACAAAAAAGTAATGGTAATTACTTGTTATATTAGAAACTCGAGTAATTGATTTCGTGACTCAATGCACAAATGCACTTAATATCAGTGAAGCGAGGAATACATATTTTTATATATCATTGAAATCTAGTTTATGAGAATAGATAGTTAGTACCCAAAATTATTTAATATATGCATGTACATTTTTTTATGTAAATAATTATAAATGTACGAAAAAAATTAAAAATATATATACATTATTGAAATAAAAAATTTGTTCTTTTTAAATAGTCCTAAACCAAAAATGGAATAAATGGTTTTTATTTTAATTTAGCTGACACATAATATGTTACTGGTTACTACCCAAAGTACGCACCCATCCACTTGTACACATCTGATAAATCTAATCTTTTTGGGCCAATTACTTAGCGGTTTTTTGTGCTTATCAACTATCAAATAGCGATGCAGAATATTTTATTTCAATCATCGAACTACGGGGAAATCCATTGGGAAATATCTGAGTAGTAAATTTATCGCGCTCAAAAAATTTCTGTGTGGGGGCACCACAATTAAAGTGCTTACTATTGATTTTATTTGGGACTAATCCTCAAGTTCCTTTATAAAGTTTTGATAAAAAACGAGAGTTCAGTAATCCATTTACTTAATGTAACAAAATTAAAAGATTTTACCAATTACAATTTACAAGAATACAATAAAAAATTACCTTTTTACATTTGCCTTTGTTTAAATGCAAAACTCAAAGCTTATTTCTATACATTTTAAGATTTTGAGTACAAAAAACATATGTCTAATTTTAACTACACAAAAATGTTTTTAGTTACTCATTATTAACCAATAATAATTTGTTTACACATTTATGAAGGCACGATTTTTCAATTTAAACCAAGTGCATGTGTGTACGTATGTGTGTACATATTTCCTATGTGTTCAACCAAAAGCGAAAGCGAATAATTAACACGAAAGTGCAAACCAACAAATTCAAATAAGTAAAATCTAATGCACACTGCAAGTGCCAAATGAAAATGGAAGTGCAAATTGAATGCAAAGACAGAAAATGAAAATAAACAAAAGCCAAAGGTCAGCCAAGGTAAGAAAAACGGAAAAACAAAGGAAAACTAAAGTAAACTTTGGATTGAACTAGAAATGGAGTAGCAAAAAAAGTTAACCAATCAAACTTTGGATTAGGTACAGAAAAAACAAATCCTGCCAAAAAATTGCCACACTGATAAGGTTTATCAACGAGGTTTTGATAAGATTCGTATAAATAAAATTAGAAGAGAGTAAAAAAGGGAGAGAGACTGAGTCTTTTGAACTTTGAACTGTGGCGAAACCGCTTTCAAAATTACTGACATCTCTCAGAAAGCCTTTGTTTCTCGCTTGCATTTTTAAACATTAATAAAAAGTACAAACTCATAGCAATCGCCGCTTTAATTGTCTTGTTTTTTGTTTATTTTATTTTCAACAATGTTTCTCCCTTCTCTTTTTTCTGTTTTCCTGCCGGCACACACACACGCACATTCGCACTCTCGCGCTGCACACCAATACCTATGCACTCACCGTTTGGGAGTTTTTGTAGTCAATCAACTGATTTGAAGCCGCATCGCGTTGAGCCATCTTGCTTAAAATTTAGGATATTGCTCTATGGGATAACCAGAATTTCGATATGTCGAGTCGAACAAACGTTGATTTTCAAATGCCTTTGTGTTTACTGTGACTGCGTCAAGAATTCCGTCAACTAAAGCAGTCGCAGCGCAGTTTCGTTTGTTTTTATACGCACGGCAGTGTTGCCACTTCGGCAATTTAGTTGCTAGATATGTATCTAGCATTTTTTTGCGGTTGCTCAAAAAGTTCAGCTTTTTTTATTTTGTGTTAGGATTTTGTTCAGACCTAGATTTTTTCTGAAGTATTTTGGCATATTCATATGTACAAGGAACAAAACTTCCTAATATTCTCTTTTGATGGACAGAATAATGCTGCTAAAGATCTGTACTTACTGTTTGCTTAAGTTCTCTTAATAAAAATGTATATAATTAAATTTATTTAGATACAAAAGTATTGAGCATTGTTTGTTTTTCATATGTACGTAATTTGTTTTGGAATTTTAAGAAACTTGTGAATTGAAAAAAGCTTATTATGCTCCCGAAATTTTTTCAACTCTAAACAACAGTTTCCACTAAAAAATCCTCGGCCAGACCAGGCAATTGTGGATGGTGTCGCGAGTTATAATCGATAATTTTTAACATTTCGGCGCCAATTTGAAAATCGGAATGGAATAAAAGAACGGAAGGTAGTTTTTGAGGTTTCAGTTTTTAATATGACTTATGACATACAAAATATTTAAATATATTTCTTTCAGATGAACATTATAAAATAATTTCAATAAATAAATAAGTGCGTATGAAATAAAAACAAAGCATAATACTGTCGACTTACTTCTAAAGACTCTTTTTTTTGCACTTATACTTTACAATTGAAACATTTGGAAAAAAAGTTCCTATGTAGATTACCACTGCTTCTGACTATACTTTTTAAGATACTTCAAAAACCAAAAATTTCAAATATTTATCATTTAAAAGGCCGGTCATATTCAAAAGAGTGATGAAGAAATACAGAAGATACCAACTGATTACAAGATTTCTCGTGTCGATTTAATAAACTACATAATTAAAATTAGCTTTGTCATATTATTTATAACAACCATATGTTCACAGCGTAAATATTAACATTCACTCTGCACCGATTTAAAAATTCTTAAGCCGATTGATTTTCAAGTTGTTTTATTTTTATTTTTTTATTTTGTGTAAGAAATAATGTAAGCAAACTATGAATAAAAATTTCATGAATATTGTAACAAAAGAAAGCCGAGTTGATTTTTATGCAATTCATAATGCCTAATACTCAGATTGAAAAACCCACACAATGTTAATATTTCTAGAGTGTAAATAAAAAAAAATTTTAGTTTAAATTAACCAAAAAGCGAAGAAATGATTTCAACAGCTTTTAAGATTCGTTTTCTGCAACTCTCTTATAACTAAATAACATTTCTCGACTACTTCTAGTAGTCACAACCAAATATAACAAGTAAGGAGTAAATATTCACACATTTCTTTAAAACTTTTAGCTCATACTCCATTAAACCTAATAATTAAAGTTAACTTTCGTTGGTAAAATTATTTAGAAAAAAATTGTCCTTTTCAATTAAAAAAAAAATACGGCCAAATTTTTAAAATACTAAAAGCACATGGCCACCCTAAACTGGTATATGTAATCAGAATATACCGAAAAACGAATAAACAGCTGCTTGCTGTACGGCACAACGCGTTAGCCCAATACTACCCAGGTTTTTTTGTCATTCATTGTTCATTCGTTCGTCTCGTCTGATTTTCTTTTTATAAAACACAATTAAACTTTAAACATATACACATAATGTTTATAAATATAATGTAGTGCAACATATATATGTATAATATAGCTAAATACCAAGTGCAATCCCTCGAAAGATAACTTCAAACGGCAATTTAATTTACGTAAAAAAAGAGACAAAAAAAACGGCGCGTGTGAAATTTTTTCAAGCAAAGGAGAGAAGTTGGAGCAACAAAAAAAGAAGAGAGAAAAAATACAACAACACACAAAGTAGGCCAACAACAACAGCGAGAAAAAGCAAGCAAGCGGCAACAACAACAGCGAAAGAAGCAAAAACCTTGTAATTGTGTCAATAAATGTTTTAAATTATATTTCCTTTGGGAAAAGGCAAGTGTCTGTGAAGGTGCTTGTTAGTGTGTGTGTGTGCGAGACAAGTGAAATTTTCTTTGTTTCCCTGCGGGGGAGGAAAAAAGAGTCAAGAAATGAAGTTGCCTTGAAACAACAAAAAACGCTGCCCCAAAAAAAAAGTATATGTATGTGCGAGTGTCTGACTCGTTGTCTGCCTGTGTTTGTGCTTGTGTGTGGCAATGAACGTTGAGCAACAACCATAATTTATTTATTTGGAATTTTTTCTGCGCTGTTTGCTTGCTTTTATCTTTATAAATATCTTTCGAAAACAAAGAGGAATATTAAAATAAAAGTCTCTAGTGTTGTTTCAGCAATGAAAATGTTTAGCCAAAAAACGAGAAGCAACAAAAACAGCGGCTTTAAGGCTGCTGGACAGGTTTCCCACGGCTAAAAATTAAAAAAAGGAGCAACACGAAGAAGAAGAAGCAGCAGCAATGCGTGAAACGCGAAAGCAAAGTGAAATTCAAGACAACAACAACAAATACAAAAGCGTAGCGGCTAACAGAAACCGTTATTCAACAATTTCTTGAATAAAGCAACAACAACAGAAAGCATACAAGTGAAAGAAGGCACAAAATACTGGTTTACACAAAATGAAAAAAAGATAAAGAAAGAAAGCAAAGCGAAAAAAGAGAAAAAGTTGCTGCACGAGAAATTTTGTACGTGTGTCGTCTCCCCATTTCTATCTCTAAATGTGTGAGTGTGTGTAAAGTGAAAAGCAATGCTGCAAGGAATTACAACAACAACCAGTTTACAATAAATATATAACAGTAAACGGGATAAAGGGCCACAACAAAAAGGCGAAAAAGAAAAGAAATATTGGAGCATCTTAAAGTGAGTAAATTGAGCAAGTTTCGATGAGTTTTTCAAAAAGTGCGTGTCTTAATAAAGCTGTTGCTATGTCTCATTGTTTATAAGTGTTGGCATAGCCAAAAAGGCGTTAAAAAGAGAGACGGCAAAAGAGGGAGCATGTTGTTTCACTTTTTTGGGAACATGCGAAACGTCTACAGGTGGCTTATTTACAGTTACTTTCTTGATAACAGCTGCTTGGAATTCTCTTCTTTTATTTCTTCTCCTTGCGCAAAGCTCCACTTTAAAACTTCTCACGCTCGACAGTCTTTTGGAGATTTTTAGACCAATCGTTAACTAATTTACACTAAAAACTAATTCTCAATAAGAACGTTGGGAATACTTAAAACTTTCTACGCATTTATTAATTTAAAAACGTATGGCTTATTATAGTTAAATAATAGCTAGTATAATTATACATACATAATAAGTGAACATTTTATGTATTTGGGAATACATTTCGAGTTTACGATATGCTTTGCAACGTACCAACAAATTTATTTATACATATTTCGTACTGCAACTTTAGCCTAAAATATTATGCACAATCCAATATTCTGTCGTTTAATAGCAGAAAATTTTGTTTAAAGTTTCCCGATTTGAGACGATTAATATTTTTATAGGAACAAGTTTTGTAAGTATACGAAATGCGTTTCGATCATTCGGGTGATGAATGACCTTAACAATTTACTAAATTATAGTTTTCGCATGCATTGTGCATTCCTAAAGTCTATGCTGCTATAGCATAATCAAATAGTTGGAATCGCCCTAGCTCTGTGGCCTTACTGACCGCTTCAAGTCACGTTTCTGCGTGCAAGTTTGTTATCAGCTTTTAAACTGATACTAGGAGAATGTTTTTTATTGCTTCCTTGGATATAGTTAAACTGATTCAGAGCAACGAAACCTAAAGTTGAATATAAGACTAAACAAACATGAACCTTAAAAAAAAAGAAGTAAAAACTTTTCCAGTTGTGTTTTATTCTATTATATATATTATATATATATTATATATGAGAAACCCATTTTTATTTATCAATCAGCGTTTTTCGGCGTTTGAATATTATTTCTTTTTAATTTAATTCTAAGTGCAATATTCTTTCTTTTTAATTTAATTCTAAGTGCAGAGTAAAGACGTTATTTGATGTTTTTCAAAAACTTTTCTTTAAACTTTTTTTAGAATTGTTTACTTAATAATAATAACAAAGTCCAAAGTTGTCTTATTTACAAGTCTTCTATCTTATCTTGTTTTTATCCTTGAAAAAAACCTCTAAAACGTGTTAAGTAACATTGTTTTCTACTTGAAAAATTATTTCTGTTACCTAACAATCTTTTCTTAAATTTTGTTCGAGGGCAATTAATGAAATTGTTGTTTATCATATTACGACGTTACGATTTTTTATTTCCACATTTTTACGCTAATCTAAATAGCATAATCGGTGGAAACTGTTTACCGAACCGATAACACACCAAAAACAAAAAAGCCAACAATGTTTGACCGACCATTATTCGATTTGTTGATAAATGGTTTCAAATAGAAATAGAAAACCGAGAATAGGGCGATTTGAACTGTTTGCTCTGTACAGCTGTGCCCGATTCGTTGAGGTTGATAATTAGTTGTAGTCAATCTGACCCGCCCCCTTATTCCCGCCCCTCTATCCACTCGTACTTTACCTATCTACGCCTATTGTACGCTTAAACGGTTTCTGTTTTATGTGCTGTTCTTTTTTCTCTCGCTGCTGATGCTTTTTGCTTAAAGCTAAAAGCGTTTAACCGGTTTGTTTCGAAACAAACAGAGAAAACCGAAAACAGAACAAGCCAAGATTATAGTGTGTGTGTAAGTTGGCTCTGATGAATAACGTTAACTTTAAAGAAATATCTGTTGGCTCTTTGTATCTGGTGTGGAAGTTGACCGGATCGAATGGGAATAGTTCAAAGCGGATGACACTCACCAGAGAAGTTTTGACATTATATTATTGGCGATTACCGGGAAAACTTTTGAGAAATCTTTTAAGAGTTTAAACGTGTTCAATTGATTTTCTTAGTCATTGACATTGGGTTAATTAGTTATTCGATTACTTCTTCGGCAGAAGATATCACACAGTAAACAAAAAAATCAAATGTACAAAAAAAGATGTAAGGGATGATTGAAGGTTAACCGGACCTTTTCTTTTTATAAATATATAAACAATTTTTCAACTCGGAATATCGACTCATTTTACAATAATTCCTTAATAAATTCTTCCCACAAAGTTTATCTTTTTCTATAAATAGGACCAAAGTCAATGAAATTTGTGTGGATAAAAAAACAAATCAAGTTTAAAACGTGTTTTGAATATAAATCAGCTTTAGCCATGCAGCCTTTGTCAATAAAATTTCACTAATACCCGGAATGCTTTATGGTTGGCTTCGCCAGCTTAACGAAATTTACTGAGATAAGAACTTTTTTCGCCTTTAAACTTCCATCAATTCGAACTTTGGTCTGAAAACTTTGTGGGGGCGGCTACAGAAGTGCTCATAAATTCAAGTTGAAACCCCTTCTATTTGCTGCTTCATTTCACCTATCACATGGCTGCACCTCCCCCTCAAAACGGCTTTTCCACACAGTTTCCCTTCCCTTTTTTGTGTACTTTTTTTAAAGGCAACTATAAATTTACTTTGTCTGCCCTTTTTGCCAGCTTTTGTTTATATAGTTTATTTTTAGTTAGCGTGTACACACATATCTAACAATTTACCAACTCACTTGCTGACTAGACAAAATTGGAAAATAAATAAAGAAAACATTTAAACTTCCCCGCATTTCGCTGTCATACTCAGATTTCAGCCAGGAAATTTTACGTTCACAATGCAATATCATTTCACAAACAGTTTTGTGACTCAACGCTTAAGTATTTTATATTCAGTTTTTAAGTCCAACTTTGCTACTTTTTGTTGGAGACTCAAATTGCCTGTCTAACTTGTTGTTCTCTTTTTCGATGAATACATTGTGGTTTGTATAACTTGACACCTGTTGAAGTGTGAGTTTTAAAGTTACAAAACTCGGGTCGTCAAATTGAATGAATGAAAATAAAAACAAACAATAATTTAGGGTTGTTGAACCCTTCAATGAAATATTTAAATTGAAATTAAAAATGCGTATTTAATTAATTCTATTAAAACAAGGCTAAATTTATTATTTATGAAAAGAATTTACAACATTTTGAATTTTTCACTTTATCATTCTTATTTTTATTATCGGTCAGAACTTTTTTTTAACGAAAACATTAATTTTTATAATTTTTTTTTTTTTTATTATAACTTACAAATAATTTGAACATAATAAATAAAACTATAGTAAGTTGCAGAAATATAAATAAATCATACCAAAATTTAAAATATATCTTATATAAATAAAATAAACATTTATGTTTGATAATTGGAAATTACTAACTCTTCATGTAAGCATTGATGATCAATGCTTATTGATTATAAAAAGATACGAATTTTAATGTGCAAACAAATGAGTTCAAAATCTAAAACAAAATTCTATCTTTTTTGTCACTTAATGTTTCCTTTGTTACATTTTTTCTTAAACGACGAGTTTTTCACATGCAATTTCATAATTTCCCTGATTAGTTTGTTAAGTAGAAAGCAGAACGGAACTAAAGTAACACTAATGACATTAATCAGAGCACATGCGAGTGAGCGATGCAGTGGAATTTGTGTCACTCGTTTAGCGTGATCTAATTTTGTTTAATGTCGTTTTTACATTATAAATTGAATCGAATGCAAATAAGAAGATTGGAACTTTACTATGTGTGAAATTTAGGTTAAATTACTTCGTCTCATTTGAGTAAACATGGTTAATTTTATGGTGATTTAATAACAAATGTTAGAATGGTTTCACGGTCATAAAAGTCGACCGGCTATTAAAACAATATACGAATTGTATACTACATCGTTTTCAAACAATGCCTAACTTAAAAAAAAGAAGATTTTTGTTAATCGATACATTATTCAATTCCGCTAACATTCTTCAAATAACATTTTAAGAATTATTTTCAAAAGCTTTTAAACTTTGAGAATTACAAAAAACTTTTATAAAGGTGACTCAAGGATTTTTTTATTTTTTGCTTCTGAATTAGTCATTATTACCAATACAAATTTATACTTAGACAACATCTAAATTCTTTGTCAGCAGATGCCTTTGCTTTTATTATTATTTTGAATCACTTTATGAAAGTGACTGAAATGAGTACATTATATTGCGATTTAATTTTCTTATAAAAAGGCTTTGGAATTCGATTCATAATTTACAGCACATCCGTAAATATTTTCATCTGTATTAATTTTCTTTATCATTAACGTGTTTTCTTTTCATTAATGTTTTTGAAAAACTTTTCTTTCACTTAATTTCCTTAACAATTTTCACTTTTATCCAACGTTTTGACTTTATATCTTTTATTGACTTCCTCTCTTATCTTTCTCGCTTTTCCTCTTCCTCTTGTACGTACGTATTTCACAAGCTCATAATTTCGAGCAATTAAATCATTGTATGACAAATTGGCTTCAAAAAGCAATGAAAAAGTGCCAACAACAATGAAACAATTACAGAGTTGATGAAAAAACACTACAACAAAATAAACGAAACTGGCGGCAATGAAAACGCAACAACAACTGCAAATAAAATGCTAATAAATTGAAATGAAATTAACAAAAACAACAAGGGAAGCACGACAACTGCTAGTTGTTATTTTTGCTGTTCAATAAGAAAGAGAGAGCGAAAAAAAACGTGTGCACATTAGAAAGAGAAGGGGCGGGCGGTGGGAAAGAGAAGGCGGCAGTCGTTGACATTGTTGTTATCTTAAATTGTCCCGCTTACTTGTTGTTTTCTTCTTGTTGTTGTTTCTTTAGCTTCTGTTTATTTGATTTTGTCATCATCTTAATGCAAACAGCGAGTGTGCGATAAAGATAGCGCTACGTCGTCGGCGTCGCTCCGTCCTTGTCTC